AAGTGGCATAACTGAGGTAATGCAACAACAAAATGCAGCCACTGCCATGGACTTGGATCCAACTTATAGCGACTCCTCCTTGGGTTTCTGAGGCGGTATCACTATGGAAGTAGATTGTCTAACCTTCCTTCTGAGTAGTGGCTGGTGGGTTTGAACCACCAGCCTTCCGGTTAGCAGTCAGATGCCTTAGGCACTACCCTACTAGAGCTCCTGTAACTGAGGTAGAGCTTTTAAATATTAAATTTGCCATTTTATCTAAGTCAATCATACATTGATATCAATAAATTGTCAGTAAACAGGTTGGTACAAAGCAATAAGAACAAAAACTACTTAGTGAACCATTCCAAAGAGTTCCAAAACAAGGGGAAAAAAAATAAGAGCTTTTAGTTTTGCAAGTGTGAAGCCAGTTTGAAGGGTTCAATTGCCCTGACTCTGGCAGTTAGTTCTACATGTTGCATGTGGTTACACTCTCCAGGAGAAAAAAGGGTTAAGGAAAGAAAGATGTAAAATGTGGCAGCATGGAAAATTTTCCATTACAGTTACAAAGCTGAGAGTGTAACTCTGGAAATGCACATTCTACTATTTCATGTCAGCAAGGAAATAAGCAATGTATGCAATTCCAGGAGAATGTAAGCTCTTTTTTAAAGTGTAGTAAGCCGTAGCGTAGTGCCTAAGGTACTTGATAGCCAACCAGAAAGCTCGTGGTTCAAACCCACCAGCCACTCCTCGGAAGGAAGGTTGGGCAATCTACTTCCATAACGATAGCCTCGGAAACCCAAAGGAGAAGTCGCTATGAGTCGGGTCAGACTCGACGGCACATAACAACAACAACAACAACAAGCTGTTAGGCTAATAGCCCGAAATTCCTCTTGTTGAGGTTAAAAAACATGTGTTAATTGTCATCACTTACAGTGACAGTGATGAAAGACAACATTAGTAAACAATTGGGTTTTAGTAAAATACCCTTAATTACTCACACGTTCCCAATAATCCATATAGTCTTCAAATGTGCAGAAAATAGTATTTTTATGTATCAGCTTATTTAAGTTCTTTAATAAGTTTTGGTTTAGTTATTTGGGAAAATAATATGTTCTGGTTGTATTTTAACCAAAACAGAAGACTCAACACACTTCATCTTACCCAACTTGAGTTATTAAATAAATACTGACTTCCTCAAATGATAACCATCTAGCATATAGTACAAGTAGGTATTAAAAGCCATTTTTACTTTCTAGAATCTGAAGACCCATTGTAGTAAATTTGATGAATACATGAATCAACAATCAATCCACCCCATTTTCAAGTAAGTTAATCATTGCTATGTATTTTTTTAACCCTAAAGTATTGAAATTCATATTTATTCATATTTATAGTAAGAAAAGAAAAATAGTCAACAAATTCAAAGAGTAAAATTCAAAGCAAAATGGAAAGCATAACTACATACCTCTCAAGTAAAGCCCTCCAAAAATGCATTTTAAGGATTTTTGTAATAGAAATAGCATTATATTTCAAATACTTTAGGAATAGTAAACTCATGAGAGAGGTATTCTAATAGATATTTCTTGAAGACCTCTTCTCTACATATGTCAAGCTAGCCATGTATTTATTACATGTTAGTCTTAGTTCAATAATACATTGACTGAAATTTAAGCATTTTGAAAATCTGGTAGAGCTCTAATAGATGCCTTCAGGTCCCATCAATTTCAAGTATTATAGGAATATTGGGCAATCTACTTCTGTAGAGATACTGCCTTGGAAACCCAGGGAGGGTCACTATGAGTCCAATTCACTCGATGTCAGTCAGTATTTTTGAGGATCTATTTTTTTGAAAAAAGAAACTTCATGTGAAGTGTTACCAGAAACCAGAAAGGTATGCATTACATCTGTTGTTGTTCCTGTTAGATGCCATCAAGGCAGCTCCAATTCATAGTGACTCTATGTACAGCAGAAAGAAACACTGCCCAATCTTGCCCCATCCTCACAATCCTCTCTACAGTGGAGCCCATCATTGGTCACTGCATCAGTCCATCTTCCTGAGGGTCTTCCCCTTTTTTCCTGATCCTCTCCTTTACCAAAGGATCTCTGGTGGCACAGAGGGTAGGGTATTTGGTTGCTAACCAGAAAGTCAGTTGTTCAAACCCACCAGCTGCTTAGCAGGAATAAGATGAGGTAACCTACTTCTGTAAAGATTTAACTAACTAACTAACTCACTGACAGTCAAGTTGCATCCAACTCACAGCGACCCTTCCTTGGGTTTCCGAGGTGGTATGGGAAGTAGATTGCCCAACCTTCCTTCCTAGGAGTGGCTGGTGGGTTTGAGCCACCAACCTTCTGGTTAGCAGTAAAATGTCTTAGGCACTATACCACCAGAGCTCCTAAGATTTACAGCCTTGGAAACCCAATGGTGGTCATTGAGTAGGAATTGGCTAGATAGCAGTGGCTTTTTTTTTGTTTTGTTTTTCCTACTTTACCAAGCATGATATCCTTCCAGGAAATGCTCTCTTCTGGCAACATGACAAAGTAGGCGAGATGAAGTCTGGCCATTCTCGCTTCCAAAGAGCATTCCAGCTGCACTTCTTCCAGAACAAATTTGTTTCTTCTTCTGGCAGTCTTACTGGTATTTTCAGTATTTTTTGTCAACATTACAATTCAAAGGCATCAACTCTTCCTTGGCCTTTCTTATTCATTGTTCAGCATTCACATGCATAAGAGGCGATTGAAAAATACCATGGCTTGGGCCAGGTGCACCTTATTCTTCAAAGTGACATCTTTGTTTCTTAACACTTTAAAGAGGTCTTTTGCAGCAGATTTTCCCAGTGAAATATGACTTCTGATTTCCTTACTGATGCTTCCATGTGTGTTGACTGTGAATCTAAGTAAAATGAAATCCCTGACAATTCAATCTTTTCTCTGTTTATCATGATGTTCCTTATTGGTCCTGTTGTGAGGGTTTTCATTTTATGTTAGAGTGTAATTCATACTGAAGATTGTAGTCTTTAATCTTCATCATTAAGTGCTTCAAGTCATCTTCACTTTCAGCAAACAAAGTTGTGTCATCTTCATTATGCAAATTTTTAATTGTTCTTCCTCCAATTCAGATGCTGTGTTCTTCTTCACACAGTCCAGCTTGTCAAATTATTTGCTCAGCATACAGATTGAATAAGTAGGGTGAAAGAATACACTCTTCCTAATTCTAAGCCATGCAGGATCCCCTTTTTCTGTTCAAATAGCTGTCTCTCAATCTCTGTACAGGTTCCTTATGAGAACAATTCCTTAACAGGGAGTTCCAATGCTGCTTCTTCCTCAGGAATGTGCTCTGGGTCTGTGTCCTGCTCCCTTGTTTCTACTGCTTTATCTTGCTTCCTTGTGTGCTTTGTGATGGTCTGTTGTCTCCAAGATATTGTGACTTTGTTGTATTTATATTTAATTGGTGGTTTTATGTTAGAGTGATTCGCCTAAGATTTTCTTTTTCTTTCTTTTTTTTTTTTTTTTTAAGATGTATCTGAGTAAACAGGGTACTTACTCCTGTATTTGCTAGTTGGCAGCACTTATGTACTCATCACCTGTCTCCTGGTGGATGTGGTAGAGAATGAGAGTGGCTGCACAGATCTCTGTTAACTGTTTGTGAATAGCAGTTAAGAGTGGGTCAGGATTTTATTGGTCGTATATCATTGGCCAATTGATGCAGAAGGATGTGGTGGCTCTCACTCATTAAGTGGACTTGTAGGAGGTGCAGGTGTGGTTGGGTCATATGGGCACAGTTATCTCCCACTCAGTTAGACAAAACAACAATTGAAAAACCATAAAAAAATAAAAGCAAGAGGACAAAAAACACACACTGCGTAACCACACAGGAACAATTACCAAAAAGAGAAAAAAGAAATAAAAAAAAAAAAGAGAGAGAGAAGGTAGTAAATGAGAGAAAATGTTTAAAGAAATACTTTAAAAAGCCACAAGAAATATGAATAGAAAAAGGGGGGGGAGACAAGAAACCTGGGGAGGGGAGGAATGAGAGAAAAGAGATGGAGTAGGAGAGTAATGAAGAAAACTGAGATATTTCCCTTGTTACTCTTATACCCCACACCTTCATGGTGAATGGAGGTGCAGCCATCCCTCACTCACACCCACCTTCTGGGCAGGCCAGGCAGGAATTCCCTCCCAGCCTGTGTGCTCTGATAGAGCCTGGGTGCCCTGTCCTACTCTGCCCAGATTTTTTTTTTTTTTTTTTT